GCGGAGTGATAGATCGGGGCATCGAATTAGTGAGGCAGTTTTTTTCTCTGGGAGCTTTCGTGCTCTTAAAATTAGGGATTCGGACCGTGTGTTTTTTTTTTTCTTTGCACTCCAAGTTGACTGGGGAAATATTGTGAGTTTAGACTCTTGGGCGAAATGACGGGAAAAATGTGTTTTGGGATCGCCGAGTATTTAGTTGGTCCCAAGGATTAACATGAACCTTCTCCTAGGTTTCAGATATTGTCGACAATTTGGAGCCTTTTCATTTTTGTAAATAGCGATAAGCTATATTAGCCGGAGATTGTTTAATGGTTTACAGATGCTAGGATTAGCCAAGGGTATTGTATAGAAACCCAAATAAAATCTAAAGAAAGGGAATTGCGGGAGAAAATATTTCCTTTGAAACTCTGTTAAAAGGCAAAATATAAGGATTTTAATACTATACCTCCGGCAATAGCTTTCTGATAGCAATCAAAATCAAATTTAATTCAGGAAAAATTTATACTTCTTCAAGATGGTAACGATAATTTCAGATAATGTAACTCGGATTTGGAGTTAGAAAAATTGAATGCTGGTAGACACGTCTGGTAGCTTTTATAAATCACGAGGAAAAGGAAGTATACATATTTCTCTTCAATAGCGTAGGTGCCTGTTTCCATCTCCTAGCGATAACAGGTGTACCTGCTAACCGATAAATCCGTAGATTGTACGTTATCGAAACTAACACAATACTTTGTACCAGTTCGTACTCAAGCAAATACTTAAAAAAAATCCCCTTAAATATAGACGCGGAAGTTTATAAATTTTGATATATTTTAATTTCCCTATTTTAGGGATTTGGGTAATTTTTTCGGAGATTAAAAATTGAGATCTTAAGTTGCATCCTCTATATGTTTCCAATAAAAATTCCATTAGGGCAAAATGTGAAATTTTCTCACATATATCTCTTAGAGCTAAGAGGGCTCGACTTTTAGTTAAGTCTATTAGATCGATGTTGCTCTTGAGTGAAATGCTCAGGAAAGAAAAGAAGAAAACAAAATGATGAGGTTCTGTCGGAGTTTTCAACACAAGGCTGAAAACAAGGCAATCTAGTAAGTGCACAAAACTATACCAAAAAAAAAAAAAAAAAAGATCGCATGCTACAAAAATTGCTATAAGGTATATATTTGTTTAAATGAGAAAGTAAATACTAAATTAGAATTGGTCATCAATATATCATTACATTTTTGAAAGAGGAAAAACAGCATACTTTAAAATGGCCATAACTCCTTAAATATTGACTCATTTTAGATAGGAAAAAATAGCATATTTTAGAATGACCATAACTCCTTAGATATTGACATTTCGGGGTTTTAGCTATTATTTGTGATCACTTCTTAAAAGAGGAAAAATGGCATACTTTAAGATGGCCATAACTCCTTAAATATTGACATTTCGGGGCTTTTAGCTAGTATTTGTGATCACTTTCTTAGTTAGGAAAAATAGCATACTTTAAAATGGTCATAACTTCTTAAATACTGGCATTTCGGGGTTTTTAGCTATTATTTGTTATCACTTTTTTGAATAGGAAAAATAGCATACTTTAAAATGGCCATAACTCCTTAAATATTGACATTTCGGGGTTTTTAGCTATTATTTGTGATCACTTTTTGAAAGAGGAAAAATAGTATACTTTAAAATGGCCATAACTCCTTAAATATTGACATTTCGGGGTTTTTAGATATTATTTGTGATCACTTTTCAAAAGAGGAAAAATAGCATACTTTAAAATGCCCATAACTCCTTAAATATTGACATTTCGGGGTTTTTAGCTATTATTTGTGATCACTTTTTCAGGTGTGAATTATTAAATATTTTATAATGGCCATAACTCCTTAAATATTGACACTTCGGGATTTTTAGCTATTATTTGTGATCACTTTAAAATAGCCATAACTCCTTAAATATTGACATTTCGGGGTTTTTAGCTATTATTTGTGATCACTTTTTTGAATAGGATAAATATCATACTTTAAAATGGCCATAACTCCTTAAATATTGACATTTCGGGGTTTTTAGCTATTATTTGTGATCACTTTTTTAGATAGGAAAAATAGCATACATTCAAATGGCCATAACTCCTTAAATGTTGACATTTCGGGGTTCTTAGCTATTATTTGTGATCACTTTCATAAGACGAAAATTAGCACACGTTAAAATGGCCATAACTTCTTACATATTGACATTTCTAGGTTTTTAGCTATTATTTGTGATCACTTTTTTAGATAGGAAAAATAGCATACTTTAAAATGGCTATAACTCCTTAAATATTGACATTTCGGGGTTTTTAGCTATTATTTGTGATCACTTTTTAAAAGAGGAAAAATAGCATACTTTAAAATGGCTATAACTCCTTAAATATTGACATTTCGGGGTTTTAGCTATTATTTGTGATCACTTTTTAAAAGAGGAAAAATAGCATACTTTAAAATGGCCATAACTCCTTAAATATTGACATTTCGGGGTTTTTAGCTATTATTTGTGATCACTTTTTAAAAGAGGAAAAATAGCATACTTTAAAATGGCCATAACTCCTTAAATATTGACATTTCGGGGTTTTTAGCTATTATTTGTGATCACTTTTTTAGATAGGAAAAATAGCATACTTTAAAATGGCCATAACTCCCTAAATATTGACATTTCGGGGTTTTAGCTATTATTTGTGATCACTTTTTAAAAGAGGAAAAATAGCATACTTTAAAATGGCCATAACTCCTTAAATATTGACATTTCGGGGTTTTTAGCTATTATTTGTGATCACTTTTTTAGATAGGAAAAATAGCATACTTTAAAATGGCCATAACTCCTTAAATATTGACATTTCGGGGTTTTTAGCTATTATTTGTGATCACTTTTTTAGATAGGAAAAATAGCATACTTTAAAATGGCCATAACTCCCTAAATATTGACATTTCGGGGTTTTAGCTATTATTTGTGATCACTTTTTAAAAGAGGAAAATTAGCATACTTTAAAGTGGCCATATCTCCCTAAATATTGACATTTCGTTGTTTTTAGCTATTATTTGTGATCACTTTTTAACAGACGAAAAATAGCATACTTTAAAATGGCTATAACTGCTTAAATATTGACATTTTGGGGTTTTTAGCTATTATTTGTGATCACTTTTCATAAGACGAAAATTAGCACACTTTAAAATGGCCATAACTCCTTAAATATTGACATTTCGGGGTTTTTAGCTATTATTTGTGATCACTTTTTTAAATAGGAAAAATAGCATACATTCAAATGGCCATAACTCCTTAAATGTTGACATTTCGGGGTTCTTAGCTATTATTTGTGATCACTTTCATAAGACGAAAATTAGCACACGTTAAAATGGCCATAACTCCTTAAATATTGACATTTCCAGGTTTTTAGCTATTATTTGTGACCACTTTTTAAAAGAGGAAAAATAGCATACTTTAAAATGGCCATAACTCCTTAAATATTGACATTTCGGGGTTTTTAGCTATTATTTGTGATCACTTTTTAAAAGAGGAAAAATAGCATACTTTAAAATGGCCATAACTCCTTAAATATTGACATTTTTATCTATTATTTGTGATCACTTTTTGAAAGAGGAAAAATAGCATACTTTAAAATGGCCATAACTCCTTAAATATTGACATTTCTGGGTTTTTAGCTATTATTTGTGATCACTTTTCTAGATAGGAAAAATAGCATACTTTAAAACGGCCATAACTCCTGAAATATTGACATTTCCGGGTTTTTAGCTATTATTTGTGATCACTTTTTAAAAGAGGAAAAATAGCATACTTTAAAATGGTCATTGTTAAAACATACATAAATATTTTTTTTTATTGTTCTATAAACATACTTTAGATTTAATTACCAAAAACAAACAATAAATACAAAAATCAAACACACCTACATATTTATAAGTTTTAAACTGCTTATACAGCATTATTATATCACATATTTGGACTATTTTATTGTTACAGTTAATTTTCTTTATTTTAGTTCATTGGCCATTGGTTCATTCACTTTTGCAATGTTTTTAAGTTTCTTTAACACATTTTTTTATTTTGCTTACATAGCATTTAATGTCTACTAGTAACCGACCTACATTACAATTAATTTATATCAGCATTTATCAATAGCATTTTTTAATTAATTATGTTAAGAAATTTTGTATATAAAGACAACCAGAAATAAAGAAAATTCAGTCGTCTATTGTAGTGACTAAACTAAGAGTTTTAATTACTATTTAGGCGGCTTCCTTCAAGTTCATGTGCTTGTAAGGAAATTAATTTGGATACTAAGTGTCAGTTCAAATTTATGTGTTTGAATTGAATCGCACTAGATCCTACTATCATAACATTTTTTGGTGACCCCGACGTGATCGTTTACACACATCCTTTGCCCCACAAGTGGTGAAGGATTTGAATCGTAAGACGTGATCGTTTACACACATCCTTTTGCCCCACAAGTGGTAAAGGATTTGAATCGTAAGACGTGATCGTTTACACACATCCTTTTGCCCCACAAGTGGTAAAGGATTTGAATCGTAAGACGTGATCGTTTACACACATCCTTTGCCCCACAAGTGGTAAAGGATTTGAATCGTAAGACGTGATCGTTTACACACATCCTTTTGCCCCACAAGTGGTAAAGGATTTGAATCGTAAGACGTGATCGTTTACACACATCCTTTTGCCCCACAAGTGGTAAAGGATTTGAATCGTAAGACGTGATCGTTTACACACATCCTTTTACCCCACAAGTGGTAAAGGATTTGAATCGTAAGGCGAGATCCTGACGGTAACTAAACCGAAACATTTTTTGGTGACGTTATCCACAAGGTGTGAGGACGTAACGCACTCGTACCAATTTCAAAAACCCCCTTTTTGGAGCTCTGGAGGAAAACCAGGAGGAAATTGCCGGTAACTAATCATCATACAACAACTGCTGCTACTCGCTGATAAATCAACAAACAATAATGGCAAACGTTCAAGAGCTTATTTCTCAGCAAGAAGAAAGAGGCAGCAATTTCGAAAAATTCGTCTCTACTATAAAGAAGGCACCTCTTGAAAGGAGAACGGAAGAGTTCTACAAGAGCAAACTTGATGAACTAAGGCTGTTATGGCAGAATTTTGAGAAGGCAGAAAACAGAATTTGCGATGATCCATCATTGTCAGAGGATGATCCGTATATTGCTCGGAATCTATATAGAACGATTGGAGAGAAGTTCAGCTCAACAATGGAATATATAGACGCGGAAATAAAGAAACTGAGGTCAGCCAAAAGTAAGCCAGTTCCCACCTTGAGAGAGAAATCGACTGAAGTTGTCGCAGGAGACAAAATACCTTCCCGTGTTGATGGGCTTGTCAGAATGATAAATGCTCGAATGAGTGCCCTTAGTCGTCACTTGCAAGGCTTGGGTACAATCGAAGCGGAACAGCCGAAGCAATTTTATAGCATCAAAGAAGATACTATAAAAAAGCTATGGAATCAAATAACGGAGCTCTACGATGAAATATTGCAGCAGATTGAAGATCCATCGAAAATTGGATTAAGTCAAGAAAACTACGATATGCTGGAAGATTCGGTACAAGACAACTTAATAAAACTTGCAGTCTTGAAAGACAAATGCAGCGAAACCGTGACCATTGCACCTCAATTAGGGAGTGACATTATAGCACACAGTTCACTCCCACTACCAAAGGTAACAATTCCTCAATTCAATGGGGATTGTTTGAAGTGGCGTCAGTTCTATGAACTTTTCTTGGAGATGGTAGACAAACAGTCTCTTCCAAGTGTTCAAAAAATGTGGTATCTCAAAACCAATTTGTCTGGCGAGGCTGGCAAACTAATCAGTCATCTATCCTTGACAGAGGATAATTACAAACGGCATGGATGTTGCTGCAAGAACGTTATAACAATAAGCGGGTTCTTGTTTCCACTCTAGTAGAACGGATTTTGAGTCAACCAAATGGAACTTCATCAACGGCCTCCATCAAAGCTCTGCATGACACTACAAAGGAATGCATGCTAGCCCTCAACAATCTTCAAATCGACACAACGTCTTGGGATGCTCTATTGATTCAATTGATCACAAAGAAATTGGATCACGCTCTGTACATACGATTCATGCAATCACTGGCGAATCCGAAGGAAGTTCCTACTATGAAAGAGCTGTTTTCATTTTTGGAACTTCAATTCGAATCAATGGAATCGATTGGAAAAGCGGCATCTACGCACAAGAGTTCAACCAAAACTGTTTCGTCCGTAACATCAGTGGAGGATCACAGGAGTTGTAAACTATGCAAGAACGACTCCCATCCAATTTATCATTGTAAGAAGTTCTTGGCAATGACAGAAGGTGAGCGATTGAAATGGATACAGCAACATAAATTGTGTGTAAATTGTTTCAAATCGGACCATGCAGCAAAAACTTGTTTTTCTGGCAACTGCAAAATATGTAGTAATAAGCACAATACACTGCTACATTTGCCAAAAAGGTCTCAACCGTCGCCGAAGGCCTCAAATCAATCACCACCAACAAAAATCGATATCGCACCAGTCAACGTTACTGCAGTTTCTTCGGCATCAGCAGAAGATCAGAAAAATGTAATTCTAGCAACGGCTAGAGTCATCATCAAGGCGACTAACGGTATGTCAGGCGAATTTAGAGCGGTGTTAGACTCGGGTTCGCAAGTGAACATTGTGACGGAAAGACTCATACAAAAATTGTCACTTAGAACAGCAGATGCCTCTTTATCTATTTCCGGAGTCGGAAGGATTCAGAAGAAGGCTTATCATCGGGTAAACATACAAATGTTATCAAGCAATTCTGAATTTTCAACAAATTTGGAAGCATTTGTTTTGCCCACAATTATACCTCCGCAACCAAATCATGATTTGGATATACAAAACTGGCAAATTCCCAAGAATATTAGATTAGCAGACCCTAATTTTAACGTTCAAGGAAAAATTGACATTTTACTCGGAGCTGAGTTTTACTTCAGTTTAATGCAACCAGGCACAATAAAACTAAATGGTCATCAACCCATACTCCAAAATACTGCGCTTGGCTGGATTGTAGGTGGTTTAATTCAACAATCGTCAACGGACGACACATCAGCAGCGCTAACATGCGCAATTTTTAGTGAAACATCACTGGAACAAGCTATTGAAAAATTATGGAAACTTGAGGAAGTGGAATCAACTGAAAAGGTCATGTCTCCATTAGAAACCCTTTGCGAATCTCACTTCAATCAACATGTTAAGACGGATCAGAATGGTCGTTTCATCGTCAGCTTTCCGTTTCAAGAATCTCCAACAGCATTGGGGAAATCACATGCAATGGCTTATAACCGATTTATGAGCCTTGAACGCCGACTTCTACAGAAGGAAGATATACGAAGTCAGTACATTACATTTATGCGAGAATATGAACAATTAGGACACATGCAAAAGATTGACGTGTGTACCGTATCAAATCCTAAATATTTTATTCCGCATCATTGTGTTCTTAAGCCCGATAGTACAACAACAAAACTTAGGGTTGTATTTGACGCATCAGCGAAAACTTCATCAGGTCAATCGTTAAATGATCTAATGTATACAGGACCAATCGTACAAAGTGAATTGTTTTCTATTTTGCTGAGGTTTCGATTGCCAAAATTCGTCTTCACAACCGATATTGAAAAGATGTACAGGCAAATTTTAATGCATCCCGATGATCAAAGGTATCAGCTAATTATCTGGAGAGAGGATCCATCCCATCCAGTCAGTTATTACAAACTTAATACGGTCACATATGGGACACGTTCAGCACCGTATCTGGCTACAAAATGCTTACAAAAGATTGCAAACGAGAACATGGAGCGTTATCCATTAGGCTCACAAATGCTGAAAGATAATTTTTATATGGATGACGGTCTCGGCGGTGCAGATAGCCTAAGTACAGCTATTGAAATACAAAAGGAGTTAATAACAATCTTGAAACAACACGGCTTCATTCTAAGGAAATGGTCATCCAATACACCAAGATTGCTGAAGGACATACCACAAAGCGATCGAGAAGTGAACCTGGATCTCAACGAATCACAAACAATAAAGACGTTGGGATTATATTGGATGCCGCAAGCAGATCAATTTTGTGTAAAACGAACATTGATCATAATGAAATCATATCAAAACGAGTAGTTACGTCTGAACTAGCAAAATTATTTGATCCGCTTGGCCTACTTGCACCGATTGCGGTGAAGGCAAAAATATTTATTCAGCAGCTGTGGCAACATACATTAGATTGGGACGAAGCATTACCCGAAAAACTTTGTGCCACTTGGAAAACATTTCGAAGGGAATTGGAAGGTCTCAACAACTTTAAGATACCGCGACATGTATTCTGTGGAGAGATCCCGACGAAAACCCAGTTGCATGTGTTTGCCGATGCATCGGAAAGAGCTTTTGGCGCGGCTATTTATATTCGTTTTATTGGAAAAGATGGACGAGTCGTCGTACGTCTGATCTGTGCTAAATCCAGGGTAGCTCCTTTGAAAAAACAAACTCTACCACGATTAGAGCTATGTGCCGCAGTGGTAGCAGCTCAACTGGCTACCAGGGTGAAAAATGACCTAAGGCTTCAGAATAATCCGATGTTTTTATGGACTGATTCTGAAATAGTACTCGCCTGGATAAAATCAAGGTCCAACGTATATAAGACTTTTGTGGCTAATAGGGTATCCACCATACAAAACTTAACATTGCCAGAACAATGGAACCACGTTAAGTCAAAAGAAAATCCTGCCGACATTTTATCCCGAGGACTCTCGCCAGCTGATCTTTCTAAATGCCGATTATGGTTTCATGGTCCAGTTTTTCTTCATGGAAAGGAAGAACTATGGCCGACCAAATTCTCTCCGCAGGAGGATATAACAAATAGCATGGAGTTAAAGACTGCAGCTACGACGTCAATAGTAACTTCTGACATGCATCTAATACATATGATCGAGCACAAAAATTCATTCAGGAAGTTACAAAGAATTTTGGCATACGTGCTTAGATTCACCAGCAATGCACGTATGCAAAAGGCACACCGGCCTCAACATATAGCAGTGTCTTCCAAGGAATTAGACGACTCCCTTCGTCGAATAATTCAAGCCGTACAATCATCTGAATTTGCAGCTGATATCAACGCGTTGAAGGCTGAAAAGCAGATTAATAAGCATAGCTCGCTATGCAGTTTATCACCGTTTTTGGATGATGAAGGCATTCTTCGGGTTGGTGGAAGGTTGGAGCATGCTATGCTACAAATGGATGCGAAACACCAAATGATATTGCCTTATAATGATCCTTTGGTGAAATTGCTATTTAAGACAGTTCATGAAGAAAATAAACATTGTGGAGCTCAAGCCTTGTTAAACGCAATAAGACAGCGATTCTGGCCAATAAAAGGCAAGATAACAGCAAGGTCTACCGTTCAAAGATGCATAAAATGTAATAGAGCGCGACCACAACTGTATCAACAAATAATGGGAAATTTACCAGCAACAAGGGTAGTTCCTGCTCGACCATTTATCAACTCTGGGGTCGACTACTGTGGGCCATTTTGGATCCATTACAAAGTCAGGGGCAAGCGACCAACAAAGGCTTATGTCGCTGTTTTCGGCTGCTTTGCAACAAAGGCTGTTCATTTGGAGCTCGTATCGGACCTATCAACCGAATCATTCATTGGCGCTCTTAAACGATTTATAGCTCGCAGAGGTCACTGCCAAAATATATATTGCGATAACGCTACAAACTTTGTTGGAGCCAAAAATAGTTTAGAGGAATTATCTGAAACCTTATATTCGGACAAGGCGCAAGAGCTACTTTTATCAGCTGCAAGTTCCAAGGGCATACAGTTCCATTTCATTCCACCAAGAGCTCCGCATTTCGGAGGCTTATGGTTGCAGTTCCAACAATACAAAACGACACCTTAATCGCCATTCAACCAGAAACGGAATACATATCTACCGATGCACATAGAGAAGAATATATTCTTGTCAAATCAGAGGATATTTCAAGCTGCCTCAAACCAAACGATGATGAATATATTTGCAGAAATCAGCAGTCAAAGCTCAAGAAAAATGCACTTGTTAACCCTTGCGAGATCAATATCTTCAATAACCAATCAACTAGCAATTACTGTCTTCACAAAATTACTGGAACAGCAGTTTGGAGTCAATTACATCATCAAAATAAATGGATCTTTGCTACTACAGCCGATATTGAATCTTCAATGGTATGCGGATCTGAAACCAACCTCATCATCATTAAAAATTCCGGAATAATGGAAATTGGTCCTACCTGCGTAATAAAAAACAAATTTGTTACGATACATGGACATTTTGCAGCTTCCAGTAGCTTACATACATCCTATGTAAGATTGAAAGGCATTCAATATATAAGTCGACAAGAGGAAATTGAAAAGGTTTCAACAAATACCAATACCACCTCTTACAAGATTCATCAAGAAGAATTGGATAATATACAAAAACAGTTGCATGAATCAACTCTAAAACACCTACCACAATTAATTCACTCATCAAATCAACATCATCAAGCAGTTAGCTACGCATCTTTAGCTTGCTGCATTCTTATTTTACTTGGCCTGCTGAGTTGGAGGATCCACACAAAATTTAAGAAGCCATCTCAATTCATACCTACACCAGCTATAAGATCTCATCAATCAACAATCGATGTTACAATGGAGTCATTCCCACATGCATCCAACCCAGGCGCAATCATTGAACAATGTCAACGCGGCGGAGAATGTTAAAACATACATAAATATTTTTTTTTATTGTTCTATAAACATACTTTAGATTTAATTACCAAAAACAAACAATAAATACAAAAATCAAACACACCTACATATTTATAAGTTTTAAACTGCTTATACAGCATTATTATATCACATATTTGGACTATTTTATTGTTACAGTTAATTTTCTTTATTTTAGTTCATTGGCCATTGGTTCATTCACTTTTGCAATGTTTTTAAGTTTCTTTAACACATTTTTTTATTTTGCTTACATAGCATTTAATGTCTACTAGTAACCGACCTACATTACAATTAATTTATATCAGCATTTATCAATAGCATTTTTTAATTAATTATGTTAAGAAATTTTGTATATAAAGACAACCAGAAATAAAGAAAATTCAGTCGTCTATTGTAGTGACTAAACTAAGAGTTTTAATTACTATTTAGGCGGCTTCCTTCAAGTTCATGTGCTTGTAAGGAAATTAATTTGGATACTAAGTGTCAGTTCAAATTTATGTGTTTGAATTGAATCGCACTAGATCCTACTATCATAACAGTCATAACTCCTTAAATACTGGCATTTCGGGGTTTTTATCTATTATTTGTAATCACTTTTTTGAATAGGAAAAAAGAGCATACTTTAAAATGGCCATAACTCCTTAAAGATTGACATTTCGGGGTTTTTAGCTATTATTTGTGATCACTTTTTAAAAGAGGAAAAATAGCATACTTTAAAATGGCCATAACTCCTTAAATATTGATATTTCGGGTTTTTAGCTATTATTTGTGATCACTTTTTAAAAGAGGAAAAATAGCATACTTTAAAATGGCCATATCTCCTTAAATATTGACATTTCAGGGTTTTTAGCTATTATTTGTGATCACTTTCATAAGACGAAAATTATCACACGTTAAAATGGCCATAACTCCTTAAATATTGACATTTCTAGGTTGTTAGCTATTATTTGTGACCACTTTTTAAAAGAGGAATAATAGCATACTTTAAAATGGCCATAACTCCTTAAATATTGACATTTCGGGGTTTTTATCTATTATTTGTGATCACTTTTTGAAAGAAGAAAAACAGCATTCTTTAAAATGCCCTAACTCCTTAAATATTGACATTTCGGTGTTTTTAGCTATTATTTGTGATCACTTTTTTAGATAGGAAAAACAGCATACTTTAAAATGGCCATAACTCCTTAAATATTGACATTTCGGGGTTTTTAGCTATTATGTGTGATCACTTTTTTAGATAGGAAAAACAGCATACTTTAAAATAACCATAACTCCTTAAATATTGACATTTGTGTTTTTAGCTATTATTTGTGATCACTTTTTTAGATAGGAAAAATAACATCCTTTAAAATGGCCATAACTACTTAAATATTGACATTTCGGGGTTTTTAGCTATTATTTGTGATCACTTTTTAAAAGAGGAAAAATAGAATACTTTAAGATAACCATAACTCCTTAAATATTGACATTTCGGGGTTTTTAGCTATTATTTGTGATCACTTTTTAAAAGAGGAAAAATAGCATACTTTAAAATGGCCATATCTCCTTAAATATTGACATTTCGGGGTTTTTAGCTATTATTTGTGATCACTTTTTAAAAGAGGAAAAATAGCATACTTTAAAATGGCCATATCTCCTTAAATATTGACATTTCGGGGTTTTTAGCTATTATTTGTGATCACTTTTTAAAAGAGGAAAAATAGCATACTTTAAAATGGCCATATCTCCTTAAATATTGACATTTCAGGGTTTTTAGCTATTATTTGTGATCACTTTTTAAAAGAGGAAAAATAGCATACTTTAAAATGGCCATATCTCCTTAAATATTGACATTTCGGGGTTTTTAGCTATTATTTGTGATCACTTTTTAAAAGAGGATAAACAGCATACTTTAAATGGCCATAACTCCTTAAATATTGACATTTCGGGGTTTTTAGCTATTATTTGTGATCACTTTTTAAAAGAGGAAAAAAAAATTGTGATCACTTTCATAAGACGAAAATTAGCACACGTTAAAATGGCCATAACTCCTTAAATATTGACATTTCTAGGTTGTTAGCTATTATTTGTGATCACTTTTTAAAAGAGGAAAATAGCATACTTTAAAATGACCATAACCCCTTAAATATTGACATTTATGTGTTTTTAGCTATTATTTGTGATCACTTTTTGAAAGAGGAAAAACAGCATACTTTAAAATGGCCATAACTCCTTAAATATTGATATTTCGGGGTTTTTAGCTATTATTTGTGATCACTTTTTTAGATAGGAAAAATAGAATACTTTAAAATGGCCATAACTCCTTAAATACTGGCATTTCGGGATTTTTAGATATTATTTGTAATCACTTTTTAAAAGAGAAAAAATGACATACTTT